CCCTACCTGAAATGCCCTTCCTGGCCTTGTCCACAGAGAAAATTCTTGCTCTATTCTCAAAGCCAAGGATATCTCCAAATCACCACATTTCCAACTTTTTCTGGAGCCTCTTCCAAAAGGAACAAAGATCCAATTTCACCAGGTGAAACAACCTCATTCTTTGTTTTGCTTCCAATATGAAAATATGTTTTATTTGGCATCCAATGTGAAAATACTTAGATGCAACTTAACCACAGAGAAGAAAAAGGGAAAAATTGCAGTCTATATATCTATAATCTCAGCACTAAAAAAGTATAATATACAAGTTCCCAAAATCAATTAACTTTAATTTATCAGTTTACAATCCTTGAATTGTGAAAAGAGCATCCTACATCCAGAAAAATATGTCACCTGAAAAATGAGGTGATCCACATCAGTTATTTTAATAACTGATATCATCCCCTAAGTACAAGAAGTAGCATTTCAAATATAATAACTCTTTAAAATTGATATAAACAAGCAAACTGAGATTCAAATAAGTTAAAATATGTCCAAGTATTAATATTTAGTTTTGCTATAAAATACATACACTCACTGGAGACAGAGAGAGAGAGAGAGAGAAATAAGAAAACTGCGAAATCATCCTTCAGGGAGGATGGCCAAGTCACATCTCCTTTCAGGACTTTGGGCACTCACACACATGCTCCTGACATGTATTTCAAGCCACAGGGTCTGGAACTCAAACCACACAGCCGGCATGTAGGATTCAATCGTCTTAACCTTCAACTGCTGACCTCTGTCCAAGTATTTGATATGTGGGAGAACTGCCATACAAATTCTGATCTGTCTGCCCATAGAACCCACACAGTTTCCATCAACCTTGAAATGGGACCATGTATGGACTGATAGTTATGTTCCCTGTATCTTTGCACAAGGTAGCAGTTGCTATCTCTAGCCAGGTCACTCAAAATACTCATGCTTAAGGAAAATGGAGTTTGGTGCTATGGATGGAGAGTGTATACAACCATCTTAAGAAGAAGAGAGATCAGGCATCTTCAAACCATAGTTCTATCTGGTTCATAATACAGACCATGAAATCAAGTTTTTTCTCTTACACTAGGCCTCCTGATAGCCTTTTTTATTTTTGGTTCTACTTCCTAGAATATACTTTATGTTTGTCAGAAAAAAGCAACATTATAAAGGAATTATAGCAGGATATCAGTTATCACCGAGTTATTTTGCAGATCAAAACAATAATGAGAGATACCACCTAACCCCAGTCAAAGTGACTAAGATTAAAAAAAGCAAAAAATGATAAGTGCTGGTGGGGAATGTGGTGAAAGAGGAACTCTCTTACACTGCTGGTGGGAATGTAAATTGGTCCAGCCACTGTGGAGAACAATTTGGAGATTCCTCAAAAATCTACAAATAGAACTATCATATGATCCAGCAATCCCACTACTTGGTATCTACCCAAAGGACAGAAGAATTCTTAATCGGAAAAGTGCTTGCACAATCGATGTTTATCGTGGCACTATTCACAATTGCTAAGACATGGAAATAACCCAAATGCCCACAAACAGATGAATGGATTGAAAAACTGTGGCACATATACTCTATGGAATAGTATTCAGCCATTAAAAAAAAAAAACTGGCTTTTGACAGAAAGTGGAAGAACATGGAAGATTTACTGCTGAGTGAAGCAAGCCAGGTTATGAAGGGGAGACATTGTATGTCCCCACTTAATATACACTGAGTGTCCACACTCTATGACTGAAAATAATTGACTAAAGGATATAGAAATACAGTAAATGGATGTAAATACCAGATATAGTGTGAGTGAAAGAATAGAGTCTGAGGAAGGACATTTAGAAGAAAAATAGAGAGGCAAAGCAGTAATGGGACAAAGAAATGTGGTATTATCTATTGAAGATAATTTTATAGTTTTAATCAACTGGACTAGGGAAAAATGTTCACATGCTTAAATATTCATTTTGTAAGCTAAATAATGTGATTGAATGTATAAAAGAAAATGAAATAAAGAAAATTTCTCATCTCCTAATCTTTGACTGTATTAACTGGAAAAGGTTTATAACTGTTATACTACTGGTGGTCTTGATAATCATGGTTGTGTTCAGCAACCTAAAGTTGTGTATGTACTTCGGACATTTTATGGTCTTATTTTAATCTTAAAAATATTTATTCACATTCTAAGTGAAACATATAGAATGCACAATACAGAATAAATGCAAAATAAAATAGGGACTTGATTTATTGCAAAAAGTCAGAAAATGTTGCCTCAATATGAGGCTAAATATGAAATTATGTATGTCACAATGGAACATTTTTAGCAATCTTATTCCTATTCACAATTATCATTGTTTTTAGATACAGATATATAGACACAGACAAAGACACACATATAGATACAGACACAGCACAGACATAGATAATACACAGCATTAAACAATCAATTTGAATTGGAGGAAAACCAAGTTTAAAGTTGAGTTGATGTTAGTCCATTTTTGCTAACAAATACTTGAACTTAGGTGTTTATTTTTTAATTTTTATAAAGAAGATAGAGACTTATTTACCAAACTCATGATTCTAATGACTGGAAAGTTTAAAAACCTATGCCTACAGCATGGCCAACGGGAGCACAGAGGACAGTGAGTGTATGCACAGAGACAGAGCAACTGACAACACCCTCTTTTGTAACAACCAGCTCTCCTCATGAGAGCTAAAACTCACCAGGTATCACATGATATCATTAATCTATCTGTAACTGTTGCAATCATCATGATTCAAATGCTGCTCACTAGCCATCACCAATTCCCAACATCATATTCCAAAACATGAAACTTTGGGGGAACAAACCATCATCGAAATCATAATAGTTAACATATCAAATTTATTCCAGTGAAGAACTCTTCTTTAAAATAGGTTCCTTTTGGAGAACTAGCAGGTGGCATGATAGTTAAGGCACTAGACACGCTGACCACAGTTTGAGTTCTGGACCTGGTGGTTTGCTTTCTCACTTTCCCTCTCCCTCACTCTGTGTGTCTCTCTCTGGTCAAATTAAAAACTAAAAATGAATAAATAAAATTTTTAAGAAAACAGTTTCCTCTTTGGCAATCAGGAGGAACCAACCCAGCTTAGTCTGTGCTCTGGGAGAAAAGGGAAGAAGATATTTATGGGAAACAGAGATGATATTTCCACGTGGGCAGCCAGCACAGGCCCATTCATGGAGCAGGGACCATTTCAAGCACAAAAGTTTAGCGTGACTATAGCTCCTGTCATGTTCACACTAGACTTTAGTTCCAATAGTGGCTTCAGCTAATGAGGAAGCTCTCTGACATTTCCAAGTTCTCAGTTTGTTTTCCAGAAATACCTTACCACATTTTTATTAGATTAATCCATAAAGTGTGTAAGTTGGAAAACAGAAAGATACTGAGTCTATATTTGAGGGGTTTTGATTTTTTGTTTTGAGGGGTTTTTTTGAGTTTATTTTTTATTTTATTTTATTTTATATTTTTTGGTCTCAAGGGAATAATAAGAGTTCTCTATTCCTTCTTATAGCTCAAGATCTAGTCTAACCTTAGTGCAAAAAAAAAAAATTTAAAAAAAAGGTTAAATAGTAATAATGACTATAAAAGGCCAGGTTACCATTCTGTGCCAAAGAACGTAGATGGTGATAAACAATTTTTTTCACAACCTAAAGTACAGTCATTTTTGTCAATAGGGTAGAATTAGGACTCATTTTATATGAGTCACACATTTCCAGATAGGCATTTTCCAATGCCCTCTCCCAACTCTTTACTGTCTCCGTAAAGTTAAGAAAAAAAGATGTCTAAGATAAGACAGATGCAAGGCTATCTCACCAAGAGCAAGTCAGGAGACTTTCATCGAGAAAAACTCAGTGGATCTATTCAGTCCAGAGGCAGAAATCAAACTGTGAATTCAATTTGGTTAAGATGTCCTGCAGCCTGGAGAAGTGGCCCATTTTTAAGGGGTCAGCCACCATCAATTTAGATGTCTATAGACACAGTCAGAAATTACTATGGAGTACAGATCTAGATAAGTTTAGCTTATTCAGCATTAAAAAACCCTAACATCCTGGTTTCAAGGGCTAGCAAAAATTAAACTCATTATTTTAAAAATAAATGATATTCTCAGTGGTAAAAGTTAAAAAAATTAAGTGTTAACTTGCAAACTTCTAAAATACACATAGGAAATGCTGAGAAGAAATGCCAAATATAATCACTCAATGATTAACTTGAAAACCTTTTTAAAGGTTTAAAATGAATGCCATAAAAATTATACTCAAAGGAGCATGAAGCAGAGTACAAAAAGAGAAGACTCCAAAATTAAGAAGAAACTGGCAACAGGAGGTTTACATGTCACTAAATAATAATTCACTTTTCATTTTATAATCCTAGCCAGTTAAATATTATTCAGTAAAAGATGTACCATTTCTATAAAAATTCCATATGATAGCTTCTCCCACCAAAACAATAATAAAAAACTCCAACTAAGTCTAAAGGAGTAATTTTAAACATTGCCTTTTATATTTTACAGACCAAAACATTGATTATTTTAAGCAACTTGAATCATATTTCAAATTCACAAGTTAAATGACATAATAAAGCAAATATCTAGCTTATTAACTAAATACACAGAGAAGGAAAGAATAAACAACCACAAAAAACCTAAATAGCTAATATTTAAAATTCAAAATAGGGCACTTATTCTGATTATCAAAATAAAAACCTCAGTTCATTACTCATATACATGTTGAACACAAGAAGCGTTTCTGCAAGTATCACAACCTACACTGTCAACAGGCTGACATCTGACTTTTCTTCCAAAAACCTGTGTTCAGCTTGTGTTTTAATGTTTATGCTCAAAAACTGTAAATGTTTTGTTTTTGTTCTTTTGTAAGACACGGAGTTCATCTGTGCACCGGACAAGCGAGGTCAAACCTGGCAGACCAAGAAACAGAGTACTCTGAATGTCCTTACCTGAAGGCCTTCAATAGCTAATCGCAGCATGCTCGGTGTTAGTTTAGAGGCTTGCTTGAAGGTGAAGTTACTCCAGTCTATAATTAAAACAAACCCATTCACTTGTAGCTCAGGATCTTCAATCATGGCTTCTAGTGAAAGTAAGATGGCACGTAAAATATCCACCAGTGTGTACCTATATCAGCAACAGAAAAGCACTCAATTAAATCTGACAACCACTTTTGCAGAAACTGTAAGAACTTTCTATCACACTAAAGATCCCCTTTAAAATGCCTCAGGAATCTTTAGGAAAATATTAAAAATAAAACAAAATCTTATTTTAAAAAAGAGGTTTATTTTATATGTGCTCCAGGAGTATATAGAATTTCACATTATTCTACCAAACAAATAGCAGCTTGTTTCATATTTTATAATCATTTAAATCACCTCCAGGCTTTCTTATGATTTTCTAAAATTGTATTTCAACTACCCTCAAAACTATTTTTAAATAGCTCAAGAATGCCCTCAGTAATAATGACATTTCATATCCCCATACGTGAAAAGTTTGAGAATGAAATTCAAGAGTTCCATCAATAGAAAAGAACATTGTACATGAAGATCTATGCATAAAATTATCACTAGACTTTACTTACCTGTATTGAGTTTGTCTCATAAAGATTAAAGAAAGAAGAAAAGCTTGGGAGGATAAATATAAACAAAAGGGGGACAGGTACTGGAATTGGACCTGTTAAAATGTAAACCATCCAAATTTAGACAGTGGATTTTTTTTTCTGCCTTGCATCTTAGCATCCTACCTAGCTCATTCTAGAAACCCACTAATTGCCCTTTACATTCCTATAAAACAGGACTAGACTAGAGATAAAGACACTGCTTCAATGAAGGTAGTATAAGTAAGAACAAAGCCAAATCCATGAGTCATATTAGAGGCAAACATGTTAAAATTTGATACTCATTTATACACGGGACTAAGACAGAGAAGAGTAGTAAAGGAAGACATGCAGATTCTAGCTTTGCAGTCCGAGTAAATGGTAAAATCTTAAATAAAAATAAAAATGCAAGTAGAAGATATTGTTGAGATGAAAGGAAACATAGCATTTTGAACAGAACCTGTTGCATTTGAGAAATATGTAGTATACTTAGAAAGATATGCCAAGTAAACATCTGAAAAAAGTTACCCCGAACTCAAGGGAGAGCTTGAAGATAAGTTTTCAGGAATCAAAAGCACATGAATCCTAAATTCAAGAAAGGGAATGAAGTAATGTAGTCAGAGCTGAGAAAATAGCAGATAATTATTCTGCAAAGAGAATCCTTAGAAAATCCCAGCATTTTGAGAGGAACTGGAAAATTCATGGAAGATGTTAAAAACTTCAATTTTCATACAGGCTGCATTTTAAGTGTTTTTCTCCTGAAACATTCACATGGAGATATTCAAGAAAAGTTAGATATACAGATTTGGACCTTGAGGAAGAGGTAATGTGGGGTAGGGGTGGATTAGGCATGGAAACCATCACCATTTAGTGGAAGTGATGTATTCACCAGGGAGACAGTATGAGATAGTATTCATGAGGGAGTAACTCTACTTTTATTTCTAAAAACATTTGGAGGTAAATGAAGAAAGCATAGTAGTTCAGAAAGAAAAGAATGATTAACATTTATTTTCGGGCTATTTCTTACCTTCCCAAGGCCTCATTTCCTTCTCTGTAAAACCAGTATTTTGGAATACAATCTCTTTTAGGATTCTAACACTAACCAAGCACAAGGCCTGATGTCAGAATTCTTCAAAATGGGACCTCTGCCCTACCCTACATAGACTGTGTGGCCCTGGACAACTCATTGATTTATAAATGAGTGCCAGTTTCCTTACCTGAAAAAATGAGAGTAACTATACCTATCTCACTGGTGGTGGTGTCAAGGGGTGGCAGAGAATCAAAGATCTTTTATTCAGATAAAAGTATTTATACGATGACAGGTACACAGCAGGTGCTTAGTAAAAGCTGGTTGGAATGCACACGTAGCACAGTTCTGTTATAATGGTAGCCATAGACATATAGTACTAGGCAGCATATAATCAGAATAGAAAAAGATTTCCCTTTGAAAGTTAACCATGAGCTTTAGGATAGACAATTACTATTGTAAAAGATAAGCATCAAGAGATTATTTTTAACCTCTGGAAGGAACACAGTCTATTATAGGTTTAAGAATATGACATTCAAAGACAGTGCCTGACTACACAATACAATAAAACTTTCCACAGCATTCTAATATTTATTTATTAAATACGTGAAATTGATGGCTGGATACCTATGTAGCTAGACTATCTCTATTATAAGCATATCAGCCTGACACAGCATTGCATTTTAAAATTCTCAAACTTAGACATACGAAAGCTTGAGTAGGAAGGCTACATCTTTGGTTAAAATTTAGAAACTCTCCCCAAAAGCATCATTTTAATTTCTGAGATTCATAATAAATCATGGTAAAGAAAATTAAAAATGAGAAAACTCCAAGTTATAATGTACCTCTCTTTATGAAGACGATTATTATGTTACCCAAAAGAATTCCAAAAAGCATTCACACCAAAATACCATTAAATGAAGCCTGAATTTGAAATCGGCTCTAGAAGGATGTTGTATTTGCACGTAATAGAAATAAATCATGACACCAGTAAAGGCTGAATACAAGAGCTAATTTGTCACAGGTAGCACACTTCAAGTACAGTTTTCTTAAACTGTGGCAAAAATCAAGAGAAAATTCATGTGCGTATCATTATCTCAAGAGAAAACAAATAAGGCAAATCCCAGGACAAGCAATGAAGAAAAGCAGATTTGGAAGGTATTCAAAGGTAAATCTAACCATTTTAAAAATGTAATATCTTGCTCTAGGAAGAGAATTAAATGATACTTACAAAAATCGCATTAGTTTATCAGTTTTTAAAAAAAAGAAGCATAAAAATATCCTAGCTAACTGCATTCACAGTGCAGGTCAAAGCCACCCTTGACTCTTTCCAGGTCTCTGTTGTCAAACATGTCACATTATTACCATTAGCAGTTCAGTGGGCTATTCTTGAGCAGAACATTACACAGAATCTTGCCAAAGTCTGTAAAATATTTTCCAAAGAAATAAGCGGTATCTAAGAATTTGATCTCTCGAAACCAGCAGTTAGCGTAATGGCTATGTCGCTGAACTCCCATGTAGTAGGCTGCGGTTCAAGACCCAGTTCCAGTGGCTCAAACTCATGCCGGGTGCAAGTGCATGCGTGCCCAAGATCCCAAGAAGAGAATGGAGGAGAAGGGATTGCAGCACCCCCTGGGGGGGGGTGATTTCTTGCTTTCTATCTCTCTGTCTCTCTCTGTCTTTCTGGTGAGCACACACACCCTATAGCAAAAACCTCTCCAAAAAAAGAAAAAGAAAAATAATTTGATCTCTTCAGCATCCCTACTCTCATTCTCTTCTTTATATTAACTTTTAAAATTTAAAAACTAATGGTCACTACAATGAAATATTCCACACATTTATGTTTGAAGTTTAACCCAAATTGTTTGAGTTCTACCATTGTTATTATTCCCTTGTATGTTGGAAGAAAGCCATAAACTAAATACTAGTGAATGATTGCAGCTCTTGACTCCTGATTCTGCTTCCCAAAGTAACTTTAAATAAAACTTGAATTTGTGGGAAGAAAAAAAAATGCAGCATGTTGTAAAAAGAAATCATAACACCAATAAGAAAACTGACACCGGGAACAGCAGTTAGCATAATGGCTTTGTCGCTGGACTCCCACGTAGTCGACCGCGGTTTGAGTCCCGGACCTGGTGGCTTAAAACTCACGCCGGGTACATGTGCGTGCGTGCCCAAGATCCCGAAAGGAGAATGGAGGAGAAGGGATTGCAGCGTGGCCATCCCCCCTGGGGGCTGTTGTCAAACATGTCACATTATTACCATTAGCAGTTCAGTGGGCTATTCTTGAGCAGAACATTACACAGAATCTTGCCAAAGTCTGTAAAATATTTTCCAAAGAAATAAGCGGTATCTAAGAATTTGATCTCTCGAAACCAGCAGTTAGCGTAATGGCTATGTCGCTGAACTCCCATGTAGTAGGCTGCGGTTCAAGACCCAGTTCCAGTGGCTCAAACTCATGCCGGGTGCAAGTGCATGCGTGCCCAAGATCCCAAGAAGAGAATGGAGGAGAAGGGATTGCAGCACCCCCTGGGGGGGGGGGGATTTCTTGCTTTCTATCTCTCTGTCTCTCTCTGTCTTTCTGGTGAGCACACACACCCTATAGCAAAAACCTCTCCAAAAAAAGAAAAAGAAAAATAATTTGATCTCTTCAGCATCCCTACTCTCATTCTCTTCTTTATATTAACTTTTAAAATTTAAAAACTAATGGTCACTACAATGAAATATTCCACACATTTATGTTTGAAGTTTAACCCAAATTGTTTGAGTTCTACCATTGTTATTATTCCCTTGTATGTTGGAAGAAAGCCATAAACTAAATACTAGTGAATGATTGCAGCTCTTGACTCCTGATTCTGCTTCCCAAAGTAACTTTAAATAAAACTTGAATTTGTGGGAAGAAAAAAAAATGCAGCATGTTGTAAAAAGAAATCATAACACCAATAAGAAAACTGACACCGGGAACAGCAGTTAGCATAATGGCTTTGTCGCTGGACTCCCACGTAGTCGACCGCGGTTTGAGTCCCGGACCTGGTGGCTTAAAACTCACGCCGGGTACATGTGCGTGCGTGCCCAAGATCCCGAAAGGAGAATGGAGGAGAAGGGATTGCAGCGTGGCCATCCCCCCTGGGGGTGATTTCTCGCTTTCTGTCTCTCTGTCTCTCTCTGTCTGTCTGGCGAGCTCATGAGCCCTATAGCAAAAACCTCTCCAAAAAAAAAGAAAACTGACACCAAATTACATAGATCATTGCTCTTGAAAGAAATCAAGGCTTCTATAAGATGTGAAAAATGCATGAAGAAGACTGTGACACCTTTAGCTCTTATTTACTAATTGTGCAATCAGAAGAAAAACATTGAATTCTGTTTGAAATTTTTCAGTTATACAGTTTGTGTTGCAGAGTAGTATATATGCTTATGAATTAAAAATGTGAAGCATTTTTATTTAACTTAAAGCTTTTTTAAAACATATAAAACTTAAAATTGTAATAAATAAAAAGTAGA